CTTGAATGGCAAAGGATTACCGAAAGATTTCCTAGTCCTGGCAATCCATGCAACACTATTCACCGTAACATTGAAAACGATGGTACGATGGTGGGCCACTATTTGATGACTTATCTGCATGAAGCTCTACTGCGGTCCCATCTCGGGCAGAACAATAATTTAAATATTTCCTGTCAAACAAATATTCACACGATGAATGATGCTAACCTAGGTAGGTCAAATTTAAAGTCCTAACAATCTTGAGTTGTTGAGGGCATAGGTAAAAAAATTTAGCTCCTGCGTAGATATGCACGAAACAGAAAATGGAAGTATGTTAGTGCGGATAGCGGAGAGTAGACCTGAGATTTATCTAACTGAGACAAAAGATGCGCAGTGGTCATGAGTTGGCGCCAACAGTGAATGCCCTCCCAACTGCATGCTAAAACTACGTCAAGAGGTTACAAGCCCGACTTGCTACAAGCCTGATTAGAAACTCGAGAACAATTTTTTACAAAAGAGAAGTGACGAAGCATGAAATAGGTGAAGTACAAATACTGCGATGCATATGATGAGTTATACATGAGTGGTAGGGGACAAATTGCACACGTACACAAAGATGAGAAGGGACAACTGCCTTATTGATCACTCAGTGAATTGACCTCCTTCTTTTCCTTCCTCTCCAACTCTTTGGCCGCGCTATCACTCGTACTCTTCCCCACCTTCTCAGAAGTGAGTTGAGGACTGGAAGATCTAGGAACAGAACGTTTAATGGCTCGAGCCTGAGCCTTAGCGGCGCGGAGAGCAGCCTCGTTGGCTGCTGTGGTGATGGAGGGGGACATCTGTAGAAAGGTGGTTTGCTCAGTAATGTTTGACGCTGAATCACCGTTGACGTCAGTAGAAGCTTCCACTGATAACGGATAGTAGGTTTTGAGGCGAGCATGCCATGCAATGCTGGTTCCAGCAGATACCGTTCTGAATTGGTGAACTACGCCCCGAGGAAGGAAATAAATGTCATTGTCGCGTAGGGGCACTCGTACGTAGCGGAAACCCTCCGTTCGGAGCAGGTTCAGCTCGCCATCGTCTGCCCAAAAGCTGCCGCACTTAAAACGACAAAATTTATTACTAATTACCCAGGTATCCACAATTGAGCTACCACCATTACGTAACCATTCATGATACCACAACGTTTTCTCTATTCAAAGCTAAACAAAATTCGCCTAGTTTGGACACAAAAGCTTACTTAAAGCAGGGACATAAACCGAAACTTCATGTCTCACAAAAATAACTTTGTCTTACCCATCTATAGAAAGTTAATGACTTTATGACTTTATGAGCATGAAAGGTTAAAATGTACACAACTTACTGTACGGTTCAACCGTTGTCAATATTTATGCCTCCTTGAATAGCGCTTTTATAATTTTGAGTAGCATAAACAAAGTGATAAAATGAGATCGACTTCATGGTAAACCTGTTACTCTAACGTTCACAATGAACTTGGCTCAATTGCTCCGTGATATGCACCATTCAAAGAACTAAGGCGAAACCGATTACAATAAAGGTATTTCGGGCTTGAAACATTACAAAAGAACTAAATTAGCATGAACATATGACAGGATAATCTGCTGATGGGAGACATCCATAGAATCGCAATAAGGACACAGGGATTACTTGGCTAACTGGTGGCTCCATAATGTCCAGACTCAGCCGTTCAACGAGGTCCCAGTAGTGCCTTGGATCAAAAACAACTACGTCTTTAATGATGCGGCCAGAAACGGAGTCGGACCTATAGAGGTTTTCGGCGGTACTCTCCAAAGCCTTGGATGCTTCCTGCTCTTTTGATATGTTTGGCGGGTACACGGCCTTGAGCAACCCAATGGCAGCCGTGGTGTGGCGCTGGAGACCGTCATCAGCGTGATCAGCGTGACATGGCGTCCGATCCTGCACCAGCACTTGGCGTGGATTGCTCAATCGGGAAGAAGTGAAGGTGCCCAGCGAGAAGTTAGCGGCTTTTCTATCGAAAAACATTAGCAAAACAAAAATGGTTGCCAGTACTCAACTTTTCAAGTTTTACAGAAGACTGCAAATATCTACGACGCCAGGATCATGACATAGTCCGGCCAAAACAAAATTCAGCAAGAAAACCTGCCTTGCATAACGATAAAGCCATATGAAAACAATAAACTGGATCAATATATGCTAATAAGCGTACTTGCTACGACTCTTTGAGGTGCCATGAAGAGGAAGAGCTTGTTCTCCAGGACGAACCCAAAGAATGGGCCCATCATTACTTTTTTGGGGGTCCATAGAACTAAGGGATGAAAGCTTCCCCCATGGAAGAACGAGTTCGAGGAAGGGATCTCTTGCAATCATCTCAAGGATATCACTGCAGAACTCCCCTCGCTCTTCGCCCTTGACTCCGACTAAGCTAATTGCATGCATTGGACCATAGCGGTAGATGCCATTGCAGTAAGTGCGGAAAACATTTTCGGCGAACTCCCTGGCGGTTGTAGTGTAAGAAGCATTTTTGGTATCAAGAGGATTGGTA